AGAAATCCTTGTCTATGGGAGGAGTCCCAGACGGAGCAGTGAAGGGAAACTAGAATTGAGCGGAGCTGCGTAGGAAGGCAAGGGCCAGGCTAGGACTTCTCCCATTGACAAGGATTTCGCTGGCAGATTTTTAGCCAGGCCAATCAGAGAAGAGAACATAAATTTTCTGCGCAGTGTCTGCTTGTAGTTTATTTTACCTGGACCAATCAGCAAACTGAAAGCGAAGTTTTGAATAACGTCGATATTCTGCTCAGTGTCTGCTAGTTAGTTTAGCATACGGCAGTGGAGGAAGTGAAGCCAGTCTGTGTTGATAAGGCTTCCAAATTAAAATATATTTGTCTGACAAAGCAGCAGCTCTCATTTACATTCGTCTTGTTCGGCTCGTTATATTTCTCCTCTCGGTAGGGTTGTTTACAGCACACGCGATTTCCGGTTAGCTTCTTAGCTTAGCCTCCGTCACAGCGACAACACACACATGCTTTAGCAGAGGCCACGCCTCCTGCAAGAAACGCTTCTCAATGCAGCAAGTCCAGACCCTTGTACGAAGCAAAGTGAAGGACAGGGTCTGGTTTTAACCAGGCTAGGCATTTATAGACATACAGGAGGATCTTAAAGTGAATTCTGAAATGAACTGGAAGCCAGTGAAGACATGCTAAAACAGGAGTAATATGTTCTCTTTTACTTGTGCCAGTTAGAAATTGGGCTGCTGCATTCTGAGCCATCTGTAAACGAGCAATGGAGCATCTGATTCCATTCAGCAATGCATTAGTTATCCATCCTGGATGTTATGAATGCATGAATTACTGTCTCCAAATTTCTTTCTGGCAGGAAGTGTTTTAACTTGGACAATCTCCTCAGGTGAAAAAAGCAGGATCATAACATTTTAATTGCACAATATAAACGATATACGGTAGAAACAATATAAATTTGTCCTATGATAGAGATCTGTAGTCTACTGGCCAACCGCACAATACTTTTTGATGATGTAACCGGCTGGAGTCAAAACAGAGGAAGCGGGAAGCAGTGTGGCTGAGAGCACAAATGAAGAGCAAAACGTTGCAAAACATAAATTATCTGGACCTGGCTCGGGTGTGCAAAAATGAACGCCGAACTGTTTACATATTTACGTGATGGCGCGTCGTCCAGTAGGCTGCAGAGCGACCACACTGCCTGCAGCGGGAGGAGCGCGGCAGATGTCACCGTCACACAATGAGGTGACTGTCAGTGCAGGTGAAGTCAGTGCGAGCTCCAGTGGGACGCACAAAAGCTTGCTGAGTCTAATGGTCCTCGATTCTCCTGCAGTCATTGTGCCATGCTGTCTCAAGTCATATCGTGGGGAAGCTCTGTGGGAAAGTGTGACAGTTTGACTGTCTTTCAAAAAAAAAACCCATGTAAAAGCATAAACGGGATGATTGTCACCCTGCCGGAGCGCGCACAGAGTGAAACACGTGGAGTGCAGAAAAAGTAATCTGTAAAGTGTGTAGAAAGGAATAAATACAAGCAGTTTGTTTTACCACCTTAAAACGAAGCAGGTGATTCCAAACACAACATCCAATGCAGCTACCTACTACATTAAAGTTATTGTGTGTGTGTGTGCGTGCGTGCGTGCGTGCGTGCGTGCGTGCGTGC